TCTATAAAGGTGGGGAAGGGTGCAGGGGAGAGAGGAGGCGGCGGAATGCGGCGGGTGGTTTGGAGTAATAGATGGAGTGAGCTGTGAGCTCAGTCCATTCATGTGTTGGTGGGGGTGGAGAGAACTGTGGGGGAGTGTGGTTGGCCATGAGAATGGAGGGGGAGAGGGAGGAAGGAGATGAAGGGAGGGGAAGGGGGGGGAGATTCTTTATCCATGTACCTCGTGATGGTGCTCAAAGTTTATTCCATGGACAATTGATAGCTAGGTTAGTCTATTGTACTCTGCTTTTACATAAGAATAAATATTGCTTGCAGACAATGTGCATGTAAATTAATATTCTTATGAGGAATATAATCATATTATTACTATAATACCTCTAAATTTTTTTCGTCCCATTTTTCGTATATACGTAGAACTACAACTCATTCTACGTATATATGAAATATGGCTGCAATAAAAATATAATTTACATAAAAATTTGTTGTAACAATAAAATCATATGCACTTTTTTTTTTTCAATTTAATGACTTTCAATAATAATTATAGATAGTTGGCACGTATGGACAAAAAATTATCATTTGATTTGAATCTCGAGGTGATTAATATGAATCTCAATATATTTTCACAGTAAGAAAGGTTCAAATACAGATAAAAGATCATCCCAAATTTTTATTTCAGCGAACAAAAGGTCGAACTAATGACTCGATTAGACGTACCCAATGACAAAAAATAATCAAATCTGAGTTAAATCAAGCCGAGATCAAATCGTTAATTTATTTTTGGAAGCCTCTAGTGCCCAATTAACTGGTCAAATGAATTTCAAATCCGACAAAATCATGATATGTGCCTTCTTAACATTCAAATATAATAGTGTCTGTGCGTATAACTTTGTTGAGATTTTGGAAATATTCACACTTGCATGAACTTGAATTTTACTACATATGTGCAGAATTTTTAAGCTTTTTTATATATATTTGTATAGATAATAAATAAATATAAATATATATGTGCAGAATTTCTTAGATCTCTCATTGTACATACAAGTATAGCTAGCATATAACTCTCAATGGATTTCATGTAACACTCTACAATTATCTAAATATTTACACGCTCAGCACTTGGAATCATATGAATAATTTCAGATTTTATGAATTGACATTGTATTTACATGTCCAACACTTTAAATTAACTATAAGATTTCAGATTCTTAATCTTAAATATTAAGAAATATGTAATTATTAGAAGTTGGATGATATGAATGTAAATTTTAAAAGATTAGTGATCACATATATGAAATCTTAGAACTGGGTGATATGCATATTTTCCAATATGCACATGCTAGAGTCTTCAAAGAGAGAAGTTTTTTTGTGGTCTCAGATTGTATTTTGTATGAAAATTAACTTATATTTGTTTCAATGTCTAATTTTTATCTATTTATTTTAGAATTGGTTGAACTTTTATATATGTATGCCCCATATACTCAAATCAATTATATATTCAAAAGAAAATTAATTATGAGAGTTGTAATAATATTTGCTATTTTAACATTAGATTTATATTAAATAAAAATATAACTTGCATAAAAATAGTTGTGACATTTAAATCATATGCACTGTTTATTTAATTTAATGAATTTCAATAATAATTATAGATAGTTGGGACCTATCAACAAATTTTTATCATTTTATATGAAACTTGAAGCAATTAACAAGAATCTCGAGATATTTTTAGAGTAAGGAATATTTAAATTAGGATAAAATATCATCTAAAATTTTAATTGCAGTAAACTTATGGTTAAACTAATGACTCAATGAGAAAGACCAGATGGCATAAAAATGATCAAATCTGAGTTAAATCAAGCTTAGATCAAACTGTTAACCAATTTTTGGAAGCTTCTAGTGCTTAATTAAAAGACCAAACAGATTTCAAATCTCACAAAATCATGATATGTGACTTCTTAACATGAAAATATAATCGTGTATGTGTGTGTAGGTGTATACATATATATATATATATATATACATATATGCCCCACATATTCAGATCAATTGGTCGGACATATGTTTGTCAGTTGTAAGTCCCATCTGTTCTGGGGTTCGATTCCCCCTAAATGTAGGGTGTGGTACTCAAATTCTTAGGAGCATGAAAGATGGCTGGGACTTGTATAAAAGCCTATATATATATATATATATAGTGCTCAGATTTTGGATATATTTACATTTGCAATTGTTTTTATTTTTTCTTGTACTATATGTTGGAAACATGAATATGAACACTTGAAGCTGTTAGTTTAATAATATTATATATTTTGTGGTCTCATGTTGTATTTTGTATGAAAATTATCTTATATTTGTTTCAATGTCTAATTTTCATCTATTTATCTTAGAATTGGTTGAGCTTTTAAGAATGTATGGCGAACTAAAATGGCTTTTGTTTTTTGGTTTAGAATGCAATGCAGTATTGTGTTGATTGACTTCTTAGATTTTAACGAGTTGCTCGACTTAATTTTGTACACGTATCTTAAGTATGAATTTTTAGGATTCCATAAACTTTTATCTTTTATAAATCTTGATTTAAAATTAAAACATACACCCCTTAATTAGTCGATATAAAAAGGTGTGCATAATTTTATGAAGCTTGATTGTTTCTTCCTTGGGCTGAAAAGATTGGATGTATAGAACTTATTGTATGACTTAGCTTACATTGGAATATAGATATACCAATTCAAAGTATGCAATATGTCCATTAAAATTCAACCACTTCTCAATAAATGAAAATAAATTACTATATAAGGATGCAAATTAATAATATCTTAATGCAATATCATATTAATGCAATGAAATGCTATAATTATAATGGCATTAAAATATATGAATAATGTTAAAAAATAGATGGATGAGGTCATCCATTTACCCACATCATTGCCTTTCATTCTCCCAAATCTTCTATAAATTTATTAATATTATATTATGTCATATACACTATTTACACTTCTGTGTTAAAAGTTAGGTTTTTAATTAAATTTTATAGCTAAAAAATTTTATTATTAAAACCCATTGGATCATCAAACTACATGAACAAGTTTTAAAATTAACCTTCCCATATATTACATGCTTTGGGCCACATTTGGGTTTATTAGCATAATCTTGCCAATCCTCTAAATGAGGGCCCATTAGCGGCAACTTATTTGGTGTGGTGGCGTTTTGAAAACGCACCTGACCTGTTTTGGGTAAAACGCGTTTTGACAGCTTATGCAGTTTCAAAACGCAGAAAACAACACTTTCACACCGCACATATCTAGGTGTTGTGGGAGCTTATTGACAACGATCTGACTTTTCCAAAAAAATAAAAATTTGTAATAGCCACCGCACCTAGCTTATCAGCAGATTATTCAGTAAGCTACAGCTGCCCCAAACAAACCCTTAGTCTCAGAATAGTCATGTCATTGCCTAATTAATTAAATTATAACTATAACATGTATCTAAATGCAAAATATTAGATAGTTTAATCTTTAAGATATGATTATAATACTCTCTAACCTAGACAATTTCTCTTGTGAAGCTATAAAACCTCTATCTAGACTATTTAGTATCATACTTCTAAGATTAATGGTCATTATTAGTGTATTTCTTAAATTGTGATATATATTAGGTAGGGATATTTGATTAGAACCTAATTGGATGAACAATCCAATTCAGTTCTAATTCTACCCTAGTTGTGAGGTCACTTGGATGAAAAATCCATGGATTATATTAGATTTGGTTGACTGCCCTAACTAACTTGGTAGACTAGGTTTACCATAATTTGGGATGATGAAGTAATCTTTGTTACTTGATTGTTTTAGTCTGCTTTCTCAAAATCTTTAGCTATGATATTTGGTTTTTCAATGATCTTAGCTTTTTTTGGTATGTTAATTCATTTTTATGATTAGCCAGATAGATGATTAAATTCTAACCAACTTTTTGAATCAAGTTTTAATCTATCGTAATTAGAGATCATATCTTAGCTAGACATTCCTAGATTTTCATAATCATTTATGTTTATCTCCATTGCATTTTCCCTATGTATTGTCACTAATTCTCAATTATGAGTGTTCTCATCTATCTTGGGATATAATAATCAAAATGGCATACCTCTATAAGAAACCTAAAGCCCCATAATAAATTAATCTTAATTATTGTTATAAATTAATAAATAAAAATTAGCAGTGCTTATCTAATATTTCTTTCATTGTTTTTCTTAGATCAATATAACTTTTTAGTCGATATCTATTAACCTTCTACAATAACTCGATGAGTCACTTTTGAAGCCCATAAGTTTTAATGAAATACTTTTAAGAAAGGCAAACTCTTAAGTCGAATAAAAAGACATAAAATTATAAGGTTCACACTTTATGTGTCATCAACAAATTTTTATCATTAGTCATGAATCTCGATGCATATTGAAAGAGAAAGATTCTAAATTCATATTCACAATCATTCAGGTCCAATTTTAATAAGTTTATGATCAAATTAAGCAACTCGATAAGATGAACACAATGATGTCAAAAGTGATCCAATCCGAGTCTAAAAAGCTTAAATATAATACTTGTATTCCAAAAAATTTTAGTGCATGAATTGGAAGGCGAAATAATCTCCAAATTTGACATGCTTCTAGTAAAATAGAGCGACATAATAAGAGGAATCTAACATGCACAAAATCATCTAATTTTGATATCATTAAGACTTTTAAATGGTGAAAAACTATAAGTGATCAAGGAAATCAATGTGGACGGTCTGATATTGTTTGTGATTCAGACAATTTATTGGATTGCCTCCACAAAAAATTTTAAATTGGCTCTTTCCTTAAATGGGAAGGAGGAGAAAAGAGTGGTTGAGCACTAAAACTATTCTTGAAGTTTTGACAGATATCGTCGGTCACCTGAGATCATAACCAATCACAAGAGTTTACTGCAAACAATCAATGGTCGTCATTGAGTACCATCAATACCTGTTTTGACCAACTATGGATGTTATCGCCACCAATTAAGAATTTTGTAGCTAATCACTACAATTGTAGCCACCAACTATATTTCATGGAGCCAAATTATGATTGTTGTAGCCAAACTACTATTATAAATTAGTTGTGACCATAATTTTTTGTAAACTCATCTTCCCGACAAGAGTAAACTATACTTTCAATTTGTTAGTGGGTTACTATGGTTGGGTCAGTCCCCAAGACTTCTTTCTAGATCTTTTCCAGGTAAAAAATCAGATATCTCTTACATCTCTAATTGTGTGTGTTGT